AGAAAATGTGTTTGTATTTTTCAACTAAACCCGACCTTCGTTTCTTTGTCGTCCTTAAAAATTCTTCACGTGCAGAACACTCGAACCGATGACAAGAGACAGTTCTCAGACTTACACTTACCAGATGCCAAGGCCGAATTGCCTTTTGTCGTACACATCCTGCTTGTCCCCCGAGTGAGGAAAGATTTCCTGGAAGAAAATCTTCGAGCGAGCGATCAGTTGGCTTCGCCTTGCGTTACTAAACAGAACGGTGCGTGCCTTAACGAACACGGAATATTTTAATATGTTCGTTATTTACGCGTAAGTGAGTTATAATCCGAGAGCGGCAGTGGAATTGTTCCGCGAACAGTATTCCGATCGGAGCTAAGAATTAAAATGAAAACGTGTATGCAAATTTTCAATTGCAAAGTGCAATGTGACAGTGGATTTGTAAAATGTAAAGTGGCAGTGAATTTGGAAAGTGTAAAAGTGACAATTTTTGTTTTGTGAAAATTTGCCAGTGGGAAAGTGACAATGATCGTGATGATAAGGAAAAAACCATCGGGTGCAGGTCACTGACTTACTCCAAGCATCAGCTGCTGCGAGCCATGTGTCCTATCTTCGAGTGTCGAAGGTCGACCCATTGACCCATTGACGTTCTTCTACGAGCAGGTGCACCTACCAACCAAGAAGTAAGTCTAACTCTCATTATTTTCCCATTTTTTATGCTTTACATACTGTGTAATTTATAAAGTTGTTAGTTATTTCATTCAGTATGTTACATTTATTGAGCGAACGTGACTAACGACTAATTGCTTTGTTTTCTGTAATAGTTCATCAATTTCTTAGTTTCTTTTTGCATGAAACTTTTGTTCCAACCTGTGCTCTCGTCGTGAGCGCGACATACGCGCGCGGCAACGCACGAGGCGGTTATCGTGCTCCTGCCCGCCTTGTATACTCGCGCTCTGATTGGGCGGGAATTTTTGTTAATAACACAATAACCACGCCTCGGACAACTTTTTCGCAAAGGAAAAAGTTGTTTAAAATCACCTCAGGAACTTCCCATTAAAATATGTACCACTAGTCCTGGGACACCCTGTATATGTACGTTGCCTTTGCAAGCTACGACAGGCGGAAGGCCGGTTTTCATACTGTCAGGTGCAATTTTCGATTGCTGATAACTAAAAACATTGTAGCCGCACTCTAGATTTTTGCCTTATTTTGGCTTCTAGACTCTCCACTTAAAATTTCTCCCACCAGTAGTCGAATGTCCAGTATAAGTTTAATCGAATATCGAAGATTCTTCTGTGCGTTGTAACTTGCGTTAACTTTAGAATACTCTGAGATTCCTAATCAAATCCGCAAGTAACGCCACAGATAATATTTAAAAGATTTCAGCGAACTTTGAGGAAACATTTTTACTTTGAACTCACAAATCTTTTTTAAACAAATTATGTAGGAGCGGGTCATGCAGATGATCTAGGATTCCTATTCTATCCGTACGTGGCGCAGAAATTGAACTTAGCGGCTCCGGAACCTGGTACTGATAAGTATCAAGTGATGGAATATTTCACTACAATGTGGACTGACTTTGCAAAAACTGGGTACGCTTCTTTTAATAATAATCGAAATGGATGGAAGATGAAAGAATATAAACGAATTGCAATTCCATTGATCTCTTTTGTTTCTCTTTGTTAAAGAAACCCAACGCCAAAGATAACGGATTTGATTCCAACAAAGTGGAAACCCATCGAGAAATCAAGTACGTCCTATTTGTATCTGAAGATCGACCGTACGTTGGAGATGGAAAGCAGCAGCAAAGCGGCAGACAGATGCAGGTTCGACTGGGATAAAATACTGAAACGCAAATTGTAGTCGAGTTAAACTCAATCAATCGTTTACGTCAATTGACTAATTAATCAGTTTCAACGGAAAGAGGATATCAGGACTATCTTTCATGGATACAGCTTACCCATTTCAATTTTCACTTAATAATGATGAGTCATTAAAATTGTTTAATCTGTAATTTGTGAACATACTTTAACCCTTTCTGTACCACTGCCGCGTGTTGGCGGCGCCCATAAAACGTTCTCTGGGTACTCCTGCCGCCTATTGGCGGCATCCGCGAAACATTATCTACCGCCATTCCGCCTAAAATCGGCATTCACGGAAAGTTATGTAGGTATGATTACTCTCTATAGTATGCATTACTTTACTATTCTCTGCTTAAAATTTCCGATTGCTCTGTTGAGAAAGTATGTGTGTGGGGG